TCTATTCTATTCTATTCTATTCTATTCTATTCTATTCTATTCTATTCATACTTATTCTGTTCTATTCTACATTCCAATATCTATTCTATTCTATTCTATTCTATTCTATTCTATTCTATTCTATTCTATTCTATTCTATTCTCAGTGGAAGGCAGGCTGGTTGCAATTGTGTTTTCTGCATTAACTATCGGTTGAAATCTGTCTCTCTCCTGTTTGGTGGCTGTGCCAAACCAGACAGTTACAGAGTCATAACTTGGAACCAGGCCTGGGTGACTGGATCTGGGTTTGCTGTGCTTCGAAGAGGCTGTCTCTTTGCTCCATGGAGTGGGAGCTTGAACAGAACCTCATGCCATTTTTGAAGATTTCATGTTTGGTATACTGACCATCCATCTGTTACCCACCTGTGCATCTTTCATCAATGCTGCTTGTGCATACATACGGGCTGACATATCCAGGTTCCTGCTCTGGTTCTGATAACCATAGTAGTAAAAATCCCCTACTTTCAAGTAAGCTATGGAAAGAAAGACCTGTGTTAAAACTTGTTGTTTTGTTTGTTTGTTATATTTAACACAACAGATTAGGATTGAAAAATGGACGCACCCAATGCTTTCAATCAGTTACTGCTTCTTATTTAATGCTGGGTGATGCACAAACCACCACTACCAACCCCCAGATTATATTCCATGACTCCACAATACTCACAGGGCATTATTTTCTAATCAGCTGGTATACATACCAAACGAGGGAGCGTTGCTTTGAGAAATGGAGAAATTATAATACTTCCAAACGCAGTCGGTGGCGAAGTATCTTTTTGTCAAGTCCTGGGAAGTATAATGAGGGGAAAATATGACTTAGGAGGAAGAGGAGGAAAAAAAAGAAGGAGGAGGAGGAAGAGGAAGAAGAAGAGGAGAAGAAAGAGGAGGAGGAGGAAGAGAAGAGAAAGAGAAAGAGAAGGGGGAGAAAGGAGGGGGAGGAGAAAAAGGAGAAGGAGAAAGAGGAGGAGGAGAAAGGAGAAGGAGGAGAAAAAAGGAGGAAGAGGAAGAGGAAGAAAAGGAGAAGGAGGAAGAGAAAGAAGGAGGAGAAAAAGGAGGAGGAGGAAGAAGAAGAAAAGGAGGAGGAGAAAGAGAAGAAGAACAAAGGGGAGGAGGAGGAAGAAGAAGAGGAGGAGGAGGAAGAGAAGGAGGAAGAGGAGGAGGAGGAGGAGGAAGAAAAGGAGAAAAAGAAGGAAGAGGAGAATGAGGAGGAGGAAGAAGAAGAGGAGGAGGAAGGAGAAGAAAAGGAGGAGGAGAAAGAGAAGAAGAACGAAGAGGAGGAGGGGGATGGGGAAGAGGAGAAGGGGGGAAGAAGAAGAGGAGGAAGAAGGAGCAGCAGCAATGGGAAAAATATTCACCGGTTCCTCTTCGCAGAGATGTGCTAGATTTGTCTGTGATACCTCTATTCCTGTCTCCGCAGAAAGGATATAATACAGTAGAGCTTCATTCCTAAAACCAAAGAGAAGAGCAAAACAAGAACAAAAGACGACCAATCAAACTAAAACAAAGAAACTTACGAAATAATAAAACAAAGCAAAACACATTTTCCAGGTGTAAAAGCCCACAACAAACTTACCAAGACAATTCCAGGTATGCTTTGAGTGCCTTTTGCATGACTTGGCCTAAATAGCCATTCTTTTCTGCCACGTATTTTGCCCAGCTGCAAATGAAAGGAGTAACAGTAAAAGGGGGCAAAGGGAAGCACCATTGTGGCTGGATGGAGTCCATCCTCCTTTAGTCTTGGATGTCCTGGTGAGTAGGACATGGGAAAATCATCTCTCAGGAGCAAGCAGTGCCTCCACCTGGTGAGATGATGGATGGATGGATTGCTCTCGATCTTCTACTATACTCTAACATCTATCATCTACCATCTATATCTATCTATCTCTGTATAATATAGCTAGCTATCATCTATCTATCTATATCTAACCATCCATCTATCTATCTCTGTCTCTATCAATCTCTATCGCTTTATCATATAGCTAACTAGCTAGTTATCATCTATCACTATCTATCTTTCTATCTATCTCTGTCTCTATCATCTATCTATCTATCTATCTATCTATCTATCTATCTATCTATCTATCTCTGTCTCTATCATCTATCTACCTACCTACCTGTCTAATATAGCTAGCTAGCTATTTATCATCTACCATCTAACATCTCTCTCTCATGTCTCTTTCTCTCTCTCTCATCTAGCTACCTAGTTTATCTATCCTTCTCCTTCTATCTATCTACCTATCTGCCTACCTGCATCAACTTATTCATTTTTCCCATATGTTTGTAAGAGACAAATTGCTGATGCCAACATGGAAAAGATGCTAAGTCAGCCATTCTTGGTGGGAAATGAATTTGATGATGCATGTGGTTGTGTGAGGATGATGACTGACAAGATCCTTCCACCATACCATTGGAAAGAGGAGGGGGTAACATCATCAGTGCCAGAAAGAGGGGGGGGGAGAGGAGGAAGAAGGAGAAGGAGAAGGAGAAGGAAGAGGAGAAGGAGGAAGAAGAGGAAGAGGAAGAGGAGGAGGAGGAGGAAGAAGAAGAAGAAGAAGAAGAAGAAGAAGAAGAAGAAGAAGAAGA